CCCCCCCCCCCCCCCCCCCCCCCCCCCCCCCGCCCCCCCTCGAGACAGAAATTACAATTCAACAAACGTATCGTTTAGCTGACTATTTTTTTACATCGATTAATTTGTATCGAATGACAGAAAAATTTTGGTCAAAATCCATATATGAAAAATTCAAAGATCGCTGATCGAGTACTAGGTAATAGTAGGTAGTACTGGGTAGTACTGAGTAGTACTAGGTTGACAGCTCTTCCGTCAGGTAACTATAAGACTGACGGTGGTACTAAACGGTTAAAGCCTACAACATGCGTCTACAAACTATTGAATGTAAAATGGAACGGAACAGGTAGATACGAGTATAGCGGTATTGTCTATTTTGAAGAATATTTTGAAATAATTCACTTTGTTGCAAAGCCAATTCTCCATGCTGTCGAAATGGGACATATTGAATATTAGATGGTATATGACAAAGTGCAACCGATTGTTTATAGAAGTAGAACAAGTTCGGCAATGTCCTCCGCTTCTGTGGATTACTCTCCATAACTTAGAACAAAAGCATATAGCAGACTGATACGTCTTGAACACTTGATGAAACCAGATATTTTCCCAGCAATAGTAAATCAAATTTTAAGCTTATCGCGTTTAATTTCAGTAAAAAATGAATCACCATCACCAATAACAAAAAAAATAAAATCGCTGTTTGTTAAAATGTTTTCTTCTCTCATTTTACAACGAAAACGGAATGATAAAAATTATGAAATCAAAAACAAGTAAAGAAAGGCAGAAGCTAATTTGTTTTCAAAAAGATAAAATAACCACAACACCACTCATCAACAAGTAAACAAACAAAATTATAACGTGTCGTTAGAATCAAATCAAATAACAAAAAAAACAACGGAAATCTAACAAAAGTCCATCTTATCAACTAGCAATACCAAAAATGAACTGCACATACCTCGCATATACCAACCACATGCAACATTTCAGGAAAAAATGAAAGTAACTAAGAATGAAACCAAGGCAATATGAGAAAGAAAGATTTTTTTGGCTTTGAGACTAATAACAACATTCGACGAAAATATTCTGAAAGGCATGTATATGTAAGTTACTTGATTAAGCAAATGAAGAAAGACAAGGCTTATCATATGGTTTTGTTCCCGTTGTTGTTGAATATAATTTTTAGATTAAATGACGTTTCTAGACAAATTGTTCACAGTCATCTGGATGAGCTGTTGAATACTTTTTACAATAATCTTTAGCTTTTTCTTCACATACTTGTCTGTTTGCTTCACACCATTCCCATCCATCTTGACATGTTGCAGGATTTTGGTTACACCACGTTTGCAACGCATCTCGCTTATCAAATGAATGACCGGTTGGATGAGAGCCGGTTGAATCTTTATCAAACCTAAGTGTTTTTTCATCATCATCATGTGTTCTTAGCAGTGAACGTATAAATAACATCGTTGAACGATCATCATTATTAGGTTGTGCAAATCGTTTATTTATTCTTAACCAAATATTATGATCATTCTCACGAGCTTGTCGTAGTGAAGAACCATTTACTGTTGTGGATATAATCAATAATATAGACAAACCAAGTAAGAGTGTAATGTTAGTTAAATTCATTATAGTTCAGTTTGTTTACCAAGAACAGTTTATAGTGTTTATAATTCTGCGCAAGACACTTGATCGCTTCTAACTTTATATTGTGATAATAGATAAAAAAGTTTCTTCTTCTGTCGTGCTTAATGTCAATTAAGAAAAACCAGATTATTTGTATTCTTCACCTTTTCACAACGCAATTCACTCTATTATTTATGTTAGCAATGATATTAATATTCAATCTGGTTTTCTATGCAGTTTTAAAAAGACAACGCTCCATTAATCTTTCACACATATGAAAGCGCGTCATTACTTATTCATTTGAGGAGAAGAAAAGTCAATTTGTTTTATGTCATGGTTTGTCAATTACCAAAAAGAAATTTTATTTTATTGTCAAGGACAAACCTTGTTTTCGTATCAATTCATAGGCGTAGAACTACTAGGCTGGGCAAGGCTCAAGCCTTACTCGAATATGGCGCAATTAGGCTGAATCAGCGCTGCAGAATCTGCCTGTTTGCTCCGACGGTCGTCGGGGGAAAAATGTAGTGATTTAGGGAAATTTTTTGAAAAAAATCGAAACATCTTTTTGCAAATATACCGCAAAAAGAAATTCTATTCATGGATTATGTGGGGGAAGTTTTTGAAAAAACTTTTCTGTCAAGGGAAATTTTCCAATCTTAAGGATAGATTCTGCACCTCTGGCCTAAGCCTTATCCCATTTCCTTTTTCTACAGGCCAAATTTTGAGTAAAAATATGAAACAACTTACAGCAGCTCTAAGTCAGTGGAACACTGTATTGCCAAATATCAGGGATTGCAATGGGGTCCTCTTTGGGACCGCTATTTGCGGATATCTATATGATATATTTGGAAAAAAAATTAAAACGAAGACTAACATATCACGGTGTTTTGTATTGGAAACGTTTCGTGGATGGTGCTTTTACCAATCTTCGAGCAGATGTTGGTGCTCAGAAAGTTTTAAAGTGTCTGAACAGTTTTGATGATCAAATTCAATTTACACTTGAAGAAGAGAAGGACTACACTTTGCCGTTTCTTGATATTCTCATCACTCGCAATTCAAGAATTGTTCCAATTCCACATTACTTTAACAAACATCATGGCGAAACTAAAGAAAAGTTATTTACTTCTCGTCCTTTTTCTATCACTTTATATTGAAAACCTACATTTATTGGCTTGTTATTAAACTTGACTGCATTTTTGTCAGATTCTTTCTCTTTGAAAAAATACAATTCTAATATGAATACAAAAGATTTTATATAAATCTAGGTGGTGAGACTCAAAGCTCTGGAGCTGAAGCTGAGCCACATCTGATCTCATCTTGATACGCAACTAAGTAAAATGAATTTCTTCAGCTAGAAAATAGCCATTGTGGGCCAACATAAACACAAAATGTATAAATATCCGTATCCAATAGTGAAATGAGATAAAAATATGATATTTTACAGCAGCTTTAAGTCTAGTCATTCTAATTTATTTAAACCTACATTTATTGACTTGTTATTAAACTTGACTGCATTTGTAACCCATTCTTGTAAAGTGTCAGCTATAAGTTCTATGGTGTTCAGAGCTATCAAAATCTGCTCATCTTATGTTATACTCGATATGGAGTTTGAATTTATTGAAAAATTATCTATGGAGAATGGATATCCAAAAGCATTTGTAGAGAATCAAATTCGGAAGACACTAGATAGACACTATGAAAGTAGAAAACAAATTCGGATGTAAACAGAAGTTAAAGAAATGACTGTTAAGAAACAAAAACAAGTTTTTATTGATCTACCTTATGTCGGTAATACGACAAAGGTATTTGGCAAGAAAATTATTGATCTAGTTAAAACTGTTCGAACGAATTTAGAGGCTGTTTGCAGTTGAATATTGCGCAATATTCAACTGTTTACAGTCATGCTAGTGATTTTTGTCTTGTTCTAGAAGAACAGGAAAGACAAATATATATGTTGTGCATATTTTGACTTTCTCTTCAGTTTCGTCTAATTTTTTCTGTATAGTCAACTTCGTATCTCATTGTCTAATGATGAAATGTGTACATTTCGAAACGTCACATTGTGTGCAATAATAAATTAGAATGACTAGACTTAAAGCTGCTGTAAAATATCATATTTTTATCTCATTTCGCTATTGGATGCGGATATTTATACATTTTGTGTTTATGTTGGCCCACAATGGCTATTTTCTAGCTGAAGAAATTCATTTTACTTAGTTGCGTATCAAGATGAGATTAGGTGTGGCTCAGCTTCAGCTCCAGACCATTTAGTTTTCTTGCTCCTAGCAGAAGATAAAAAGATTCCTGCATAAAATACATTAATATTTTTAGCTGCTGTGAGTTTTTCTCTGCCTTCGGCGGGGAATTTATCATGCTTTTTAAAAAAATCAGATTTATTCTCAAGAAAACAGCTTAAAAAGAGCGGTTGGAAACACGTCGAAGTTCGTTTGCCGCCTTACAGCGTGTAGGAAACGTTTCTAAACCTTATCCTGATCGTTAAGTATGATCGGATAGACTCGATTCCTAAAAGCTTAGGGTAAATTTTACATTTGACCTTTTTCAATTTATAAAAAGCTTGAGACTGACGTGAGTCTGACCTAATGCTTTTTCCTAGTTACGCCACTAATTTTACTAGAGAAAACGTGTTTAAATTATCAGCTTTTTTGAAGCAAAGAGCGCAGAAGGCGCCTTTTAGACTGAGAACTTTTATTTCTTGTACTAGAAACCATTGTCATATACAGCTCTGCTTTTTATTAATAATCATTAATATGGGGAAAATTCATTTCGCAGAGGAATGCCTTAAGTTAAGCCCTGCTCCATTGGGAAATCATTCCGCCGCCTCTGTAGTGAAATCAAGAGTTGAAAGAAATTACAACCAGTTCTTTCTGTCTCCGTTATATCTTCTATCTGTCTAAAGTTATTGTGTTATTTTTAGAAATACTGACACAAATAGGTAGATACCGCACATGAACGGTTTTGTTGGGCAGAGAATTATCTATTTTTTGGTATATAAAAGAAATTTGATTATGAGGAGCAAGTATGTAATTTGTAACTTTTATTTCTATTTTTGTGTGTATTTGTGTGCCATGGGATAGGCATCTATAAGCCTCCAGCTTTTGTCTATGCCCTTTCTCTTTGCCACCGAGAATAAATAAATAAATAATAATGATAAAAATGCATTAGCATTCAGTCAGTGTGGAGACATATCCCGATCGGGTGCACTTCCCAATCAGGATATATATTCCGATCTGGATATCCTTTTGTACAGCAAAATTTTCTTAATATCCCGAACGGGATATAGTTGAAATTATATCCTGATGAGGATATAATTCGATATCCGATTGAGATATTAAAAATATCTATATCCCAGTCAGGATATCAAAACATTTTTGTTGGTTAGTGTAATTTCTAACTTTCTTATTAACATGTTTTTCATCAGATCTAATTAGTTTGAATGGGGTATTGCCCTACCAGGCAATATTAGTATAAATGAATTGTAACCAAATTGTAATTTACTTACAAAAAATATAAGGCAGTTTATATGCATAAATCAGTACTTAGAAAATTCCCCGTTAAACACAAAGCACGTATACTTATATATTGTCGACGCATGAGAAAAGAAATGTGTGTTTCAATATATGTGTGCATCAAAAAAGAAGAAATAAAAAAAGATGGTCGGTGTGGAAAGCGCATAGATCAAGAGTATATCCCCATACTGTCGGTTTAATCTGATCCACTTGTTAATAGTTTTATTAATAATATATGTATTCTGAGGAATTCAATGATCACATAAAAATATAACTGTGTAAATTTTGTACACTTGCGTTTTATACGTGTAAAACTGTACTAAAGCTTTCGTCATGTGTGAAGACGATTCGTTTTACTATTAAACAATTGATCATTAAGATAATAAACAAAAAAAATCATTAATAATATTTTAATTACTATTCTTCCTCTGCTCTATAGCATGACTAATAAGATTACTTCATCTGCTTTAGATCGAGTACAAATGCTGAACCGATACTTCTCTAAAATATGTACGGCCGATTCCGCATTCGTTCCTTTGACGACTCATCTTCCATCAGCATCACCTATCATAATGTCAAATCCAGTTATTAATGTACCACAAGCGTCATCTGATGGGTTGTAGGTTATCAACTAGGCTGAGTTCGAATATCATAGTGATAGCTGCCCAGGAGCCTTGAGAGAACGTTTTTCTGAGAAAAAACAGTTTTTCACAAACTCTAAAAGTAACCATCGCTTTTCTTGATGGTGCACGATTGTAGCCCGCAAATTTCTCATTAAAATGATATATCTCCTAGGTCTACACAACCTTTCTGTGCAAAGTTTTACAATTTACAAGAAAGGCCCTGAATGTTCATTATGAGCTCAAAGCTACAGAAATAAGAAATTAATTTAGGACTTTTCTCGTAAATTGTATTAACTTTGCAAAGAAAGGTCATGTAGACCTGGGAGATATATCATTTTAATGAGAAATTTGCGGGCTACAATCGCGCATCATCAAGAAAAGTAATGGTTACTTTTTAGAGTAATCATTTTGCATGTCGAGTTCACGGACTCCTGGAGAGCGCCAAAAGTCACAGTAAGCGGGTAGAGGTTGCGCCGTCGATAATAGTAACAATAATAAGCTATGATCTAAAAACACTGAACCGACAGAATTACATACATCAGTACTGTTGGAAATGAAATTAACGGTGTCAATACACTGATTAACAGAAGAATCTCTTGGGACAAATCCTGAGTTATTCTTACAGATTAAATTATTGGCTTGTAAAATACCAAAAAACATGTATAGGTATATACTACTCTCTCAAACATCTTTGACAATCCTGGTGGAAATGTAACCGGACTATAATTAGAGTATATGTAGCTAACAGTGGTAAAAGATGTTCTGAGTTCCAGCAGTCGAGGAATACGTTGTTAATTAGCGATTCGAAAAAACAGATCTGTTAGAAATGACGAGATGACTGGTGCGTCTTCAT